TGGGTCGCAGCCGCGGGGCCAACTTGACCTTGCCGCTTGGGGCCTCTTACCCTCCATGGATCGTGGCCGCGGGGCCAAGTTGACCTGGCCCCTTGGGGCCTCTGGCCTTCTGTGGCTTGCGGCCGCGGGTCCAAGTTGGCCTGGCCCTTTGGGGCCTCTGGCCTTCTGTGGGTCGTGGCCGCGGGGCCAAGTTGGCCTGGCCCCTTGGGGCCTCTGACCGTCTATGGATCGTGGCCGCGGGGCCAAGTTGACCTGGCCCCCTGGGGCCTCTGACCCTCTATGGATCGTGGCCGCGGGGCAAAGTTGCCCTGGCCCCTTGGGGCCTAAGATTATTATTTTTGCAAAAGTAGTTTTGCTTGGGTCGCGGCCGCGGGGCCAAGTTGGCCTGGCCCCTTGGGGCCTCTGGCCCCCTGGGCCTGGGCCCGGTAGGCCCGGTCATTAATCCACCTATGGATCTACGACACAGTAGCTTTAACTCAACTGAATATATATCATTACCGTAATGATGACTTTAACGGTTTGAAAAGCTCTGAAAAGAGGACATGATCCGCTTTTGTCTTGCTATACAATCTTGTACCTGAGATGATAAACAGATTTCACAACAAAAGCTGGATGGATGTCTGAGTGAAAAACAACAGAACGGAACAGGAGAGGTTATCACTTTCTAAACAAAAGTAAATTTAAAATAAATCATTCAATGAAAAAAGTTAAATCAACTTGGTTGATTATTAGGGACCCCATTTTAAATTCAATGATTAGAGAGCAAAAATCCTGATTCACACATGGAATAAAACTGTAGGGCATCTACTCCAAGCAAGCATTAATGTTTATCAGAGCACGAAATGCTTTAAAACTCAGGTTCCTAATCTGATTCTAGTTTAAACGCATTAAACACTGTTAATAAATATTCATTGTAGCAGGATTTCTTTGGTTAAGTAGGGATTTACTAAGATATTTTCAATTAGCAATTATGGATTTTAAAAATATTCTCATTAATATTTATGTAGCTTAAAAATCAACACAGCTAGATTTTTTATTATACTAAGGCATTACTAAGATTGGATTTGTGAAAATATTCTAAGTGATGTTGTCTGTTAGGACTCCAGTCTGTGTGGTCTGTGTTTTTGTGTGTTTGTCTTCCTTACTCCACCAGGCGGCGCCTGGTTCTGATTCTCCTCCTCACACACCTGCAAGGGGTTACCTCGTTAACGGAGTGCTCTTAAGCTGCTGACTGCCACTACCTCGAGGCAAGAGTGTTTGCCAGTTTTGGGTACTCTAGCCATGCTGACTTTTGGTAAGTCAAACTGAGTTTTTGTCAACCTGAGTGTTACCATTGACTTTTGTCTTTGCCTCTCGGCAGGAAGTCATCCTGCAAACTGGAGTTTTCGGACCTTCTCTCCCTGGAAGGATCAACTGAGCTTCAAACCGAGCTGAGGAAACGTTTGAGCTTCACACTGAAAAAGGGATTCATCTGCACAACAGTCCGTTCACATACCGCAGGAAATCTGAGTGGCAGTCAGTCTTTCTCCGTTCATCTACAACCAACCGCATTCTGGGTAACCCTGTCCGCCCTCTTCCGTATGAAACAAACACTGGAACACATTCCTCACCTGCTGGAGTCTAAGAGTAAACCTAATCTCTGGAAACGTGAGTCTGCCAGTGGCGGCCGGCCCATAGGGGGCGCTGGGGCACCGCCCTCCCTGATAAGAAGAGAGAAACGTAAAATATATTTTTAGAAATTAACTCATAAATGTCTGTTTTACTCTCTAGACTGTGTAACTATAAGCAAAACAAATTATATAAACTACATTTCCCTATCTACTGTCATTAATTTGTGGATTTCCACAGACAGACTCCTACCGTCTCTGTTCTGGGGGCTGTGATCAGACTGACCCACATTTGCAGAGAATCTGTCAATCATGTACTATTGCTAGGTGAATTTAATGGCCAATCAGCGTCTCGGAACTTTATGGTATTGGGGCGCTGAAAATACTGCGCTTTTACAGGCTTCTCTTCTGAACCCAAGCGCAGGTGCAGACAGTTAGAGGAAGGATGGCGAATGTAACGAGCGAGATGCAGCTTCCACCAAATTCGGTGAGATCCTTATTTATCTACCCGTTTGCCAGAAGAACATCCCTGTTGTATGATATGAACATTTCATTTCATGGTTATTGTGACAGTGACGAATCCACCTCGTCGCTTAAAACAACCTCTCTAACTTTGCGCGCCACACACACATTCCTGTTATACTGTGTTTGTGAGGACCAATACACTCGCGCTGAGATCAGTAGCTCTATTAACTTAAAACACACAAGCTGTCCTGGTTACCTGCTGGCGTATTGAGGGTGCACACTTAATATTTCAGTGGGGTTAGCCGTGTGTGTGTGTGTGTGTGTGTGTGTGTGTGGGTATGTGGGGTGTGTGGGTGTGTACGTGTTTATGCGGGGACTTGTCATCTTCAGTCTGGCTGCGTCTTTGCTGGGTTCAAACCCAGTTTGGTGTAATTGAATAAGTCAATGAATCTGTGTAAAAGAATTAAGTTGTAAAAATTATTTGTTTTTGTACATCAATTGTTTGTGGAGGTAATATATGGACAAAACTGATTAATGAGAAGAAATCAGAAATAAGAGAGCCTGAGGTGAGGGGCTTAAACTATTTAATGAGGGCTGTGGGAAGAAAAGCGGCAATTTTTGTTTTCTGTTTCTTTGTTACATTGCTGGTAACTGGAGGGAGGCTGAGGCCCAGAGTATCTTGTGCATGTTTAGTTTCTTTTGCACCCTGTTTTGAGTTTTTGAGCTCAATAAATCACCAACACCGGTAACCCGACTGAGACTGGATTCTTGGAGGCCAAAGAACCCCGTCACAGTGACCCAAATCATCACTGTTACTGTTATTATATAGTAAATTAAATCATTACTGTTAAATTGTATGTATTGTCCAATTGTTTATTTGAATTCTTATTCCGGGTTAGTTGGAGACATACACTAGGCTATATCAGCCCCACCAAAAATATTTTTCACCAGCCGCCACTGGAGTCTGCCAACCTTTTCTCCTCTTCACGTTCGAGAATCAATTCTCCCACTGAACCTGAACTAACCGCAGTGTCTTCCCCTCACCTCTCAGTTCCGGTTGAGCAGTGTTCAGAGCAACACTGGAACCTCTACAAAACTTTTCAATAAACCTGTTAAACTTTTTCCCTCGTCTCTCTGGACTGGTTTATCTGCATGTGGCTCCGAGCTCTTGATAAAATCATGACATTGTCTTTTGTGAGGACATTTTGATCTCTTTGCATTTTGTGCAGGTTAAATCAGGCTGCTGGCCTTCCCTATGCACTGGATTGGTCCAGAAATTAATTTTAGAATGACTTACCTTTTCTTTCAACTCAATAAAACAATTACTAGCATACATGTGGCATTGATAACAGTGTCTATGAGTCTATTTATTTGCGTTTAAAAAGATTAGTAAGAATATTTGAAAAAAGATGCTCTGGGTTGTTAAATAATGATGTATCTGGTGATTGGAGGGTCGTACAATGCATGTGTACATCTAAAGGCTAAGTTATGTATGACTCACATACGTTCTGCACAGAATGTCTGCAGGTTTTGTACTCTGGCTTTTCCCCCTCTACTTAATATTCTGTTCGACTCCAGAGGCCATGTACAGTACAAACCTCAAGATTATGACACCACACTATACCAGGAAGCACAGCTGTTACAAATTTTCCTAGGTGCATGGTGTACTGTGAAGAGGGGCATGGAAGCTAAATTGATGTAAGTCTTCCAGACTAACTTTGCAAACAGATCATAAATCAAGCTTTGTGTATAATTCAAATACCTCATAACGGTCTGGACACTTGAGCCATGACAGGAGTGTGTCCAGGGTCACCATCTATGCTATCCAGGACCAGGAAGCAGAATGCATTATCACTACCTTATCCGTACCTGTAGCAGCATCCGTACTATCAGCTTATTGGAACATGTGCAACCTGATATACATACAGGTCACATTCGATTTTACTTTATAAAAGAGGCCAAAACTATTATTTTTTCCTCCCCCCCAAAAAAAGCTTACTAAACTACACTGTATCAAAGATTAATCTTTTTTTTTTTTATTAAATGCATTTAAATCTGTGCTGTTTTATCACTCGTCTGTGCCTGATCCATCCCAGAAATGGGATCCTGTGCTACTTCTGGCAGCTAGTTTTTTCGTCTTTGTGTTCCACACATAATTCTAGTCTTTTCAAGTTTTTTTTGTGTAGCTCGTGTTAACCTTATAGTATATAATGCATAATCTACAGAAATAAACAACTAAAATGCAGATAAACATGGTTTAATCATATTTACCTTAACCTGAATGAATATCTGGTTGCACTTGCGCAAATGAGCTGATGGTACTGACTGTGCTCCCTGTATGGATCGGGTAGTGACAGGCATCCTAGCATCAGGGCGACAGTGGCGTAGGGTGCAGGATTTTGCCTTGCAATCGGAGGGTTGTCGGTTCGTGCTCTGGCTTTTGGTGTACTGCAGCTTTGCTTCCGTCAGTGAGCCCCAGGGCAGCTGTGGTTACAGTGTAGCTTGATACCATCAGTATGTGAGTGAATGGGTGAATGACTGAATGTAGACTAAAGCATTATGATCAAGCCCCCTGACTTCGAAAAGCGATATTCAAGTACAGGCCATTTACTATCAATACAGTTGGCACTTGGGCCTTTTGGCATCCCTAGCTGCTGCTAGTGTCTGAGATAACCATAAATCATGAACTTTATTTGAACTGCTTTTTTCAAGTTGAGCTTTCTTATTACCCTCCTCTATTGATTAACTTATCTCTGTTCCAGGGAGATGTACCACAGGCTTTTAAGGTAGCTGTAATTAAACATTAACCTAAGAAACTTTCTCTGCATCCAAACGACTTGGGCAATTATAAACCTATATCTAATCTTCCTTTCTAGTCTAAAATGCCTGAGAAAATTGTTTCTAAAGTGTGTCAGCACTTTTACAAAATTTTTTTTGGTCAGGTTTGAAGGTTCATCATAGCACTAAAACAGCTCTGGTAAAAGTCACTAATGATATTCCCATGGTCTTAGATAATAGACTTCTATCTGAACGTGTCCTGTTAGATCATAGTATCGCACCCTGGATAGTGCTCTTACTGCTGACCTTATATAAAGGGAATAAATTGGAGGAAGGAAAAGGCCTACGTTTTCTAAGCTTTTATCGCATTAAAAGGTATTAGATGTTAAGTTCATCCCTATAATATTTCTTTATATTTCAGAGGAACTCTTATTATTATAGATTCTTAGGTATTGAAACAATCAGGTTTGAGAATTGTCAATGACCTAAGAGCTCTATGAAACTGGTATGCTCTGACCATCTGGTCCACTCATGTAACAGATTTTAACCCAGTCGCTAAAGAATCCTCTCTGTTCTAAAATACAATAATGAATGATCACTCTACACTTAACAAAACACCAAAAGTACAGTTGTTTCTGGCCAGCTGTGACATTTTTACAGCTTGTTAGAGCTCTTGGCGCTGCACAATGACGTTGCACCACCTGTGACCCCTCGCTCTAACATTGACTTTCTGCTTCATGAAAGTCCCCATAGCAAAGTTCTTGACAGGAAAGTATATAGATACTTTCACTCACTGTATTTGTGCATGGGTTGTTTTGTCACTAATTGTTGAGAAAACCAATCCGTCGGCACAGTATCTCAAATATCTCAGCGATGCAGAGAAGGATGGTGATCACAGTGAAGGTGTACATTGCACTAAGGAAGATGGTTTTTTCAAAGTGTTCTGGTACCATGCACTTAGTCACGTTGAAGGCCTTTTCCAAAGCGCTGGCATCACAGACGTAAACTGGGTGAACCTAAAGGAAAACATAGAAAAGTATGAGATAGTTGGGATGAGGTTTTTGGTTGCATCGGTCCGTAGCACTCGTGGTTCATTCAAAATCTAGGTTCTGAAGTTAGAAAGAGGCAGAGGCATTTCTTGCAAGAAATAAGGTTCAAATTTGTCCTCAGACGGACAGATAGGGCTCTGACTGGCCAAAGCTCAGTACATACTTTTATACAGCAACTCCAAATACGCACACTCTCCCTTGGAACTATCCCACCCCTACTGAAAGAACTTTTTCACACACGAACATTTGGAGGAAAAACAACTTGAGTCCATCAAGGCGGTTCACTGTTAATATATCTTTCACTGGCCAGATAGATCTCCTCAAAACAACAGTCGCCGCCTTCATGCCATGAAGGAGGATGTGTGAACTCATTCTTATCTCTCATGACCTTGGTTTGGAGCCTGTGAGGCTAAGAATAGACATACCTCAAAATTTTTTACTCCACAAGGTCATGTTGTGAAACTTATCTCAAAGAGAGGCTTTCTTCATCCAGTCTACCAAACAATCCATACTTGTTCAGTCTGTTTCTAAGCCCTAAGTTGGAGCAGTAATACATCTTTTTTGGAAATTTTACATCTTTTGGTGAAGTGACCGAATTTGAGAACTAAAATGCCAGATCTTATAGGAGAGTTTTTTTTGAATGGATGATAAAAGATGTAAAGACACATGGAAAATTACAGACCTGAAAACCAAAGATGTGGCTCTGTAGCCAGAAGGCAATGATCTCTAGAATGATGCGTAAAAGAACAGAGATAATGTAGAAGACAGTGTAGATGGGCCGTTCAAGAATTTCCTCTTGGTCTATGCTCTTACAGGCTGCATACAGGTGAAACCAAGCTCCAGGAACCAGCACCGTTACCAGCTGTAAGGCCCAAAAGACCTGTAGAGAGAAGAAATATAAAGGGACAAACTAGTGTTACGCTTATTGCCTTGCTGAATGTATGTCAGTTTGCATTTTGATCCAGTTTGGATGTTTAAAGCTTCACTATTCATTTACATTTCTTGTTTTCTTAAAATCATTGCAGTTTAATGCTGTTACTATAATTCTGACTGTGTGTGTTTGAGAATTTTCCTTAGATGACCAGAACTTTCTCTGGTTCCAAGCCGCAGTGTAGCTTGGTCCCACCTGTGGTGTTATGGGTCTGAACTGGTTGTAGCAGAACAGGTTGAGCTCTCGGCGATCCGGATCGCAGCTGAAGTGCAGAGCCTCGTTTCCGTACACTGCGAAGCCCAGAACACCAAGGAAGAACATCCGGACCGAGCCGAAGAACAACGTGTGGAACTGGCCGATCACTGTAGGAGGCCTGAGCTGGAATTTACCCACACACAGACGGATACACACAGATCAGTCATCGAGACCAAAAAGGCATTAAGTATCAATGACATTCTGAATGGACCTGATGGACCGTTATGAAGCAATAGCAAGATTTGACACATCTGGTTTAAATTTATTTTAAAGGAATTACAGAGAAAGTGTCAAAATGAGAAATGTTTGACCGATTAGCCCCTCCCCCATCAGTTGCAGAGTACTGCCAGTCAGCTGGCTGAGAGAAAGCTATACTTTTGCGGGCAGAAAAAAGTTCATCCTCAGAAGCTACAATAGATGCATTGATGGAGTGGAAACCAGTGGCCGCCGGCCCATAGGGGGCGCTGGGGCACCGCCCTCACTGATAAGAGAGAAACGTAAAATATATTTTTACAAATTAACTCATAAATGTCAGTTTTACTCTCTAGAGTGTGTACCTATAAGCAAAACAAATTATATAAACTACCTTTCCCTACCTACTGTCATTCATTTGTGGATTTCCACAGACAGACTCCTACCGTCTCTGTCTTGGGGCGCTGATCAGACTGCCCCACATGTGCAGAGAATCTGCCAATCATGTACTATTGCTAGGTCAATTTAATAATTTAATGGCCAATCAGAGTCTCAGAATTTTATGGTCTTGGGGCTCTGAAAATACTGCCCTTTAACAGGCTTCTGCACCCAAGCGCAGGTGCAGACAATTAGAGGGACGATGGCGAACGTAACGAGCGAGGTGCAGCTTCCACCAAATTCGGTGAGATCCTTATTTATCTACCCGTTCGCCAGAAGAACATCCCTGTTGTAGGATATGAAAATTTCATGTCATGGTTATTGTGACCAAAATCATCACTGTTACTGTTATTATATAGTAAATTAAATCATTACTGTTAAATTGTATTTATTGTCCAATTGTTTATTTGAATTCTTATTCTGGATTAGTTGGAGACATACACTAGGCTATATCAGCCCCACCAAAAATCATTTTCATCAGCCGCCACTGGTGGAAACCAGAGGAACACTAAAACTATCATAATGATATATAATATCTAATATCAGGTTTGATTTAAGAGCTAGCCTCTGAATGGCATATAAATTTGAAAACTATAGAGAACACTAGTAAAATATAAAAATAGACCCCATCAAATATTCATCAGTTGTTTATTCTCTATGTGTGCTTAGTGTATCAAATCCAAACAGTTTCTAAAGTCCTTCACTGAGGTTAGCAAGTGAATAGGACTACTTTCTTTACAACCATCTCTGTTGGTAGATTTAGAGTCAACAGCCAGACCATAAAGGCAACTGTAGTTGATATTTGCACGATATTTAATAGGGAGGGCGATGCTCTCTTCCACAGCTGGTTCAACTGATTGCGTGACTCTATATCTGCTGATGTCCACAGATCAGTTAGAAGCAACATCTGCTCCAGGTTAAGCCATAAGGATAGGAAGAAGCCACATCTGTTCTTTCTCAGTGTCTGATCCAAAGGAACGTGAGAACACTTAAACACGGCGGTGTTTTACCTTCTCTTTCTATGTTTAGGGCCGAACAGCCTAATGTTAGAAAACTAACCACTTTTTCCTTATGAACAATCTGTTAAAAATATTTAAATGAAGGTAATTAGATGGCTGTGGAATCAATTAAAACTTGGTACCTTTCACTGTTCTGGATGATGATGTGAGGCTCTCACGCCTCGGCTACCTACATCCACACACCGTTAGAAAGAAGGAGAAAACTGCTTTTGTCTGTCAGATAATCATGGAGGCCCTGAGCTACACAGGCTGAAACAAAAAGCCATTCAAAGGAAACAGCTCTTATCTCTAATATGACCACCAACTACCAAAAAACAGCTCAGGATGATGCAAAGCAAACAGAAACCCAGTCATCACTCAGCTACAGGGAGACAGCAGCATCCTCTCTGGAGGGTCGTCGGCTCGCATTCATCCCATCTACTCACACATCCTTCATAGAAGTTCTTGATGTAGTTTAATGACATGTCTTGCTCTCTGATGTCCCCTGTGTGATTCCAGGGTGGCTTCGGGCCCCCATGGTCAGGACTCCTCCACCTCTCTCTCTCTCTCTCCTCTGAAAACCTGTAGCCTTTTATCTCTCCACAAACATCAACTGAACCATTCAGTGAAAAAAAGACAACAGGGACGGGGGGGACAATAGGTTGGGGGTGGGGGGGGCCTGTGCCGCCTGCATTATAATCCCCACAGAACCCAGTCAGCAAAAAAACACTCCTGTGGCACACAATGAGGGAAAACACCTGGTCAGGTGGAACTTTGTTGTCTTTAACATATAGAGCTTCAAACACACAACATAGATTTATATTTCAATAAAGAATCTAATTAACAGGAACAGTTTCCTCCTCCTGCTTGTTTCATATATGTTCTTGAATTGGGCAGATGAGTCCATCAGCATCAGAACACATAAACACACACAGCAAACACCTCTGAGGTCGCAAGGATTTACAGAACCAGAACCAGAGAAGAAGAGAAAAAGTCCACACACCAACCGGAATCCTGGCGGCGTGTTGTTCATTCCAACTCTTTTTTTCCAAACACAGATCCCAGTCTCATCCCGGCTGCTGTACAGTGAGGGCCACAGCAGCAGGAGGTCAGTTAGGGAGAGCTGAGACAAGGCACTTCCAGCAGGACTTTCAAAATAAAACAAGGAAACATAGAGTCAGAAAATCTGACATTTGAAGCCCCTGAAATAAAGCTTTCCAAACAAAACCTCTATATGTATACCTGTTTGTGTGAGCTGCTGTTTAATCATCATAGTGAGGAACATTTTTCCCCCTGGTTTTAGTATCAAATTTAACCAAATTTAACATTCAAACAAGTGTTACAATCTTATATTTATCCAAAAAGTCTTTTTAATCTAGTATTGAGACCGACATACTCAGCAGAGGCAGATTTAAAATATGGTTTTAGTTGTCCTTTTAAAGAAGTCGTTAAGTCTGCTGATCTGATAGTTGGAAGAAGAGAGTTGGGAATTCTTTGGGCCCTAAAGAAAAGGCTCAGTAGTTATCCTACTGCAAAAAATGGAAATCTAAATGAGTAATTTTTGCTTGAATTAAGTGCATTTCTTCTTAAAATGAGGAGGTAAGTGGAACACTTTGCCAATGGAACTAGACAATTTACAATTAAAATAAGAAAAAAAATTGCTTTGTCTTATTTCAAGTGCATATTAACTAATGATCTCATTTTAGGCATAAAAATACTCATTCCATTGGCAAATCATCTCATTTATCTGCTTAAATTAAGGGTAAATACCCTTGATTTAATAATTTTTTTACTTATTTCCAGATGGTGTTTGCAGTGCGTACATTAGACAACTTCATCGCCCTGATGGGGGTGTAGGAAAGTAAAACTTCAGTGTTTTAAATTGGTGCCTGTCCATGCAAAGCTCGCCAAGTCTTCCATCTTGACTAAAACCAGTCAAGATGCATTATAATTGGAGTAACATGAGAGACCTTTTTAGGATCAATCAGGAGCCAAACATTATTCTGCATAGCCTGCAACCTGGGAGGTTTTATTTAAACATCAAGATGAGGTGTGGTAGCATAATTATCACTGATGATGTGTGATTTTATCACACTTTAATATTACCTGCCTGTTGCGTGTCAGAAATGATGTTTCCCCCAGTAGTTTATCTAATTAGGACAGTTCCTCTGTCCGGATATATTCAATTCAATTCAGTTTATTTTAAAGCGCCCATTCACAACACACGTTACAGTTCACCAGATCATCCAGTCAAATTGATTCAAAGTTTTCTATCTAAGGAAAACCGGTTGATTGCATCGACTCATTTACTCAAGGGCAATCCCTCACACCAACCATGCTTGTAGCGACAGTGGAAAGAAAATCTCCGTCTTAACAGGAAGAAACCTCCAGCAGAACCAGGCTCAGTGTGAGCGGCCATCTGCCGACACCGACTTGGGTTCAAGGAGACAGAAGCAGACACAGAAAAAGAAGCAGAGATACAAAAGCTGTGAGCCGGCTCCCATGTCAGAGGATGAAGAGAGCACATCCAGCCAGTCACAGTCAGAGAAACAGGACTAAACTGAAAAACAGGTCCATCTCCAACATCTATAAACAATATTTAGTTATCATCAGTGATGAGAGTAACGGCATTACTAACGCCGCTACCTTTTTTAGTAACGATTAATCAAAATTATTACTCTTACTGTAACTATAACGCAGTTACCATTGCCGACACCCCGTTACTGCACGTTACTCAAGTCGCACAATTAACCTTTTTTCATGATAGGACTCGTGCGTGCGTCATGAGAGAGGGGAGGATGGAGGGGGAGGAGGACTCCAACAACAAAACAGCGCTTTCCAGATGGAAATACTGGTGTTACGTCGAGCTGCGTTTCCCCATCAGATACGGTTTCCCCTGCATCTCCGCACAGTGCGGCGGCACGATTCACCGCGCAAGCGACAGGAAACGCGCATGCTCGATGAAGGCGCGTAACAGCCTTCATTAGCCTATATGGAGAAAGGGAGAAATATGGATGAATGGATGGATGGATGGATGGATGGATGGATGGGTGGATGGAATAGATAGATCGATAGATATAGCTACATGTTGCAGTATCTATAACAACCCAAACACAGGATTTCAGAATTAGACATCCCCAGTTATTAATTTCATACACTCGCAAAAGTAACGCAATAGTTACTTTTACTACTAACTAGTTACTTGTATTGTGGAGTAACTCAAAAAAAAAAATGGAACATTATTGATCTCACATTGGAGTAATTTATCTCTGCATTTAACCCACTCCCTTGGGAAGCAGTGGGCTGCCATTGTGCGGCTGCCGGGGAGCAGTGTGGGGTTAGGGGTCTTGCTCAGGGACCCAGGGTGGCAGTCTGGGGGAGTGGGGGATCAAACTCCCAATCGCAGGATTGAAAGCCCTATGCCCTAACCACTTGGCCGCCACTTCCCCTCAGTTACTAACTCAGTTACTTATTGGGAGAAGTAACCAGTAACTATAACTAATAACTTTTTCAAAGTAACGTGCCCAACACTGTTTATCATCTTCATTGTGCATGTGGCAAAGGTTTGGGAATGGAACAACAACATCTACAAACATGTGTGATGTAATGATGTGGCAGACTGGAGTTGAGTACAATTTCTATCAGAATCTGTTGTCATGTCTCATGGTTATTTAATACATATACGTTATTGAGTGCTATTTAAAGAGTTTGTCCAAATTGATTTCTTTTCAGGAAAAGTAACCGAAGAGAGAAAGGTTCAAGGTGTAAACATAGAGCTTTCCTTTAACAAATGTTTAAGGAATTAGACTCAATTCTAACTCGATTCCAACCCTGTTAAAGTCAACCTTTTTACTCACTACATCGTTTTACTTTTTTTATTTTTATATATAATACATATTAGACCAATGTTTGTTGGGGACAAGTATAACACATTAAATCATGACCTACAGGTGCTGGTCATAAAATTAGAATATCATGAAAAAGTAGATTGATTTCAGTAATTCCATTTAAAAAGTGAAACTTGTATATTATATTCATACATTACATACAAACTCATATATTTCAGATGTTTATTTTGTTTAATTTTGATGATTACAAATGACAACAAATGAAAATCTCAAATTCATCATATCAGAAAATTAGAATATTGTGAAAAGGTTCAAAATTGATGGCCCCTGGTGCCACACTCTAATCAGCTAATTAACTCAAACCACCTGCAAAAGCCTTTAAATGGTCTTTCAGTCTAGTTCTATAGGCTACACAATCATGGGGAAGACTGCTGACTTGACAGTTGTCCAAAAGACGACCATCGACACCTTGCACAAGGAGGGCAAGACACAAAAGGTCATCGCTAAAGAGGCTGGCTGTTCACAGAGCTCAGTGTCCAAGCACATTAATAGAGAGGCGAAGGGAAGGAAAAGATGTGGTCGAAAAAAGTGTACAAGCAAATGTGGTGGTTTTCAATGGTCAAAAAATCAGGACACCTTCAGTCGATCATCTGATTGCCCACAGGACGGGAGAAGAAGCGTTTATTTTATAGATCAAATTCACATGCTGTCCTCAGTACACGTAACACAGCGCTTCACATTTCAACAGAACACATCTAGCTTTTCTCAACTCCTCATTCAAATCTGGGCGTTTATATAGTTTCAACATTGCACTGTGTGGATGTATGTGCACGACTGGACGCTCTGATAACATTTCCTGGAAGTTCTTGGCTAGTGACCGGATTGCGTGCGAGTGGGCCTAATGATTTTGTTTTTCCAGACTTATCCTGGCAGTCAAGCCAAGATGAGTACGTGGCCTCCAGACTGCTTGCTCTGTGTTATCAATCATTGTGAGCTTAAGGTCACGATGACCTGAGGCAACACAATTCGCTTCTACATTCCCTCCTGTAGTTCATTGAAAATGAAGTATTAATGAGAATTTGCATAGTGATGGTAATATAACGCAACTAAGTGCACTTACGTGTATATGAATTTCGAATGAAACGGTATCTAAGTGTTACCGACGCAGCCCAGTATGGATGCAAGTTGAGAAAAACAAATTAAAAGTCATGATTAATAACAAAACTAAAGTAAATAACAAAACAGAGTGAATATTACTGAACCTTCAAAGAAAGATCATCATTTTCCACATGGCCATGATTCGATTAGTATGGGATCGAAAACCCCTTGTTCGTCCTGTGGGCATCTTACTCTTTCATTTCAAACTCATGTAAGAGGAAACTATCCCATCGACCCATGCTTCCCCCAAACATCCATCCTTCCTCCGGCGTCGGCCGTAGCACAAATCGCATCTTGACCATGCTACTCATGATGATCTGTGAAACCAACACTGTTTGAACCATTCAACCCAATCTTGATATTAATTGATATGTGAAGGGTAACTATTCAAAACATTTCAAATAACTCGAACTTAGTTATAGTGTATTGTAGTATATAAGCTATGTAAATGAAAGAAAGGAAAAATTAAGTAGGTCAGTCAGTCAATAGTCTGAGTCTCCAGTCCTCTAAACAGCCGCCCATGTATAGCTTACCATGTAAAATAATAAGACAGTAATACAGATTATAATGCAAAGCAATGGCATGTTACAATCATCAGGTTTATATTTACAGAATACAAGAATAATCAATAATTGTGTTGTCTTCTTTCCTGTTGAAAAAAATCAAAAATATAGTTCTTTCACTTCAGGGCTCTGTCCTTGGCATTTAAAGGCATAAACACAGGATCACAGGTTCCCGCCTTTCGTATTTTGCAGGCAGAAGTTGAAGGTTTGCAGTCTTATGCCTGGAGTCACCGGTCTTTACAATCCATCCCCTCAAAATGAGTAAGACAGAAAAACCACAATTAGTGTTCTTATCAGCAAATATAAACTAATCATAGAAAATATTATTCCAATCCTATTGTTGTACGTAGTGTTTGACTTATCTAATTCAATTGGAGAAGGATCCCATTCCCTCCTGTGATGCTTTCATCACATCTGGTCCTCTCGGTCATCCATCTGCTGGTCGTCCCTGTTGTTGCATTCTTTCGACGTGCAGCTAGAGTTCGCTGGTCCTCTTGTCCTTTCATTACTGTTTGATGTACCTCCCTTAATACTTGAGTTCAGTCAGTCTGCTCCTTGGTTGTCCTGGCCCCCTGGGCCTCGCATATCGTTCATGTGTCCATGGCTTATGCTGATCCAGAGTAAGGGCAGTCCTTGTCCCAGTGTCCTTAAATCTCACTATCAGATGTTATCCTGCGAGGAAGGAAAAAAAACTGACCAGTATCTTGAAACTAAATCTAGAGATGTAACACATCCTGTTTTTCATGAGTCCAGTTTCTGTAATTAATGTTCAAATTAAATTAAGAGAACTTTTAATTGTTGCAGTAAAGTCCCATTGTCTCTTGGTGTATCTTCTCTCTTATCTGCAATTATTAATATTTCCAAATATCCTCCAATAATCTGTAAAATTTAAATCTCAGAGAATTAACCTTTCTGATAATAATGAAATAAATCATGTAACACGATTGTAGGACTTCAGATTGGACCTCAGGCCAAAACAACAAATAAAATAGTCTATCTTTTTTAGGAATCATCTTACCTGTTTAAAGAAACATGAAATAAATTACAATCATCTTACCTTCCTAAGATAACAAAAACAGGAGAAAACTTTACTCAAAGAAAATGGCAGTCCAATCCTACTGTGCAATCGGTGTTACAGCTTCAAATCGCTCCACAATACTTTCAGGAATCTTGTAATTTAAATACTTGTTAACACAGCTAAGTGTGAGATAAATACAATGAAACTTCATCACCTTTTCTATTCCTCTGTAAGGTCCTTCTCATCACAGAGTTCCTGGGTCCTTTTCCTCGAAGTGCATCAATCCCCAATTATATGTTAATGACACAAGGAAAGAAAACAAAAAACATGAGTAAAATAATTATTTGAATTTACAATGCGACCCTTAAACAGGATCCTCCTACATGGGAATTAGATTATGAAAGAAAAGACAAGAAATAATATAGTCAAACCGCTCTCAGCTCTCAGGTGTTCTTTTCAGGCTCCATAGCGTACCGAGGCTCAGCCATTTTGTCACAGGGTGGAGGCATCATCTGGGGGCAATTTGGTGATCTTTGCCCTAAAAAATTTAAACACTGAAAATATTTTTCTTATTATCTTAGCCGTCTGTTCCAATTTTATTAACCAGGGTTTTCATGCACAAGAGTAGTAAAAGTACTAAAGATTTTAGCAGCATAGTAATAATGAGAATATAAGCAAAAATCCTTTTTCCTCTGGAAGCAAGTTGAGTGCCATCCTACATTATTTTTAAATACAATCTGCATTCTGACTTTCCGTGCTTTATAACAACATTTGTCAATGCATCTAGATTTAGGATTTATTGGACAGTTTATACACTTGGATCACATAATCTCACACATAATATTCCTGAATTCAAATCTTAAGGTGCTTGTCCAGTTGTAAAGCCTGTTTTTATTTAGTATTCTACTGTTAGAAATGTATTAAGAACATGTGTGACAATCTGCGTTACATATTGGAGACAGAAATTATGTTTAACTTTTCATCTCATTTGTGTAAAGTCTGATTTCTAAATGAAACTAATCCTTGATCTTGCAAACTCTGCAGAGATACATTTTTATTTTTACTTATTCATAATGTTTATTCTGTTAAATATTAGTTGGCTCGGTGCAGATAACTAGGAATGTAACCCTTTTCAAGATTGTACGTTTCGTCTTGGATATTCATAAACAAGTTAGTGTGTGCACTTTAACCTTAATCACTCTTGTAGTTCTCTGCCAAGCCACAAAAAATAAAAGGTTGTTTTCCTGTGGACGGAAGTTGCTTAATCAGACTGGAATGCAGAGTGACTTTTCCTGTCTCTATGGAACACGCAAGAGAGAGAGACGGACAGAAAAAAGTCTTTCGAAACACAAAGATATTTGAGTAAGTATTACATACTTTATTCGGCTTTGAGCTAGAACTGTATTTAGTCTGTTTTAGCCTATAATCTGTTTTAAGTCTTTTGTCATCTTCATTTAGGATTCTGATCTGTCTCTATATTAATCTTTAGTGCAGTAAACAGTTTTCATTCTATGCTTCACGTAGAATCATCTAATGTAATCTAAAGCATAACTAACCTCTTACATCTATTAATATAATCAGTTCTTCTCTTCTTGAACCAGATCTGCTTCTTTGTTCTGTTTCAAGCTCATATATTGAATTAAATACATGTTGCTCTCACTTTAGGATGTAAGAGTTTTATTCAAAATCCAAGTAACATTTTGTACAAAAACATTGCAAACATTATTCTCTATTTCTGTATCTTACTGAGTAAACAGCTAGTCCTGATGCTGGGGGAGAGAAAAAGTCTAACTTAAATAAACATCCTGGATTATTATTGTGAAGCTAGTCTGAATGTTGATTTCTTAGTTTTACTTAAAGTTTTTCAGAGGTACATCTAGTGCATTATCTAAGGATTCATAGAATCTTTATTTTATGGAAATTCATTGTCTTTAAATACTGCATAGGCTCCTGCTGATTACATTTTATTTTATGTTGTAGACAGTCTTAATTTTAGTTTTCCTGATTTATTTACTTTTTAGCAGCTTCTTTTGCATTCTCTGATATTTATATTCCATATAGCTTTCAGGTACACATGTTAATCTTACATTGTACTTTGTGCCTAGATAAACACTAGGAGATTCTTATTGAATGTTTCTATTTAATTAATTTGAATCATGACCTATTCTGACATAGTCACATAATTTTCACGTGTCTCTATCTTCTGATTTAGTTCTTAATACTATAGACTGTTTGTTTTAAATCACTGAATTTGGGAGCACATCTAAAGTATCAGCAGCTGAGCTCTATGTAATATCCATTAATATTTTCCTACCTTACTATGACATTTGGCACAAACCGTGAGTCTTCCTTCAGAAAAGGTTTCAGGTTTAGCAGCGTCTGTGAAGAGAAACTTAAAGCAGAATAATTAGTACGTTGTTAATGCAGAATGTGCAAATTTAAAACCTGGTCCACATTGTGTCCTGCAGTAGGGAGGCTGAGCCTTTGTACTTAAAAAATAAAACTGGTCTGGAAATGTTTGATCTTTCCCATTCAAACCTTTGATCAATTAATACATCATGTTTATCAACCTTAACAGAGAATATAGTCATAATGAAGAACACTGATTTGTAATATTTGAAATAACATCTGTAGATTCACTGTTGGCTGAATCTTTACAAATCATAGCTGGTGGTTTTTCAACTTAACTGTTCCAAAAACAAACTAAAAGTAAAAGAAAGGTTCAAACAGCATCCCATAGGATTCAGGATGTAACCGTTGTAATGATTTACATAGTGGCAATTAGTAACATATTCTGAACATTTTGAAGCTTATTAATTACTGCTTTTAGTTTTCCCAATATTGATTCAGTCTTTGTGAAGTAAACATCAGCAAGTTTACACAGAATGTCAGTGTGAGTTCTGTCCCCCAAAGCTGGAAACAAGTTGTTCTAAGATGAACAGAAAAAGGAAAAGAAAAGAAAGGACAAAATCTTACTCTAATGTTATTAACTTATCGAAATCTCAGTGTTACTTAATTCTAATTGCATGAACTGATCAGCATGTTTTCTCTAAGTCCTAAAATGTCTCTACTAAGTGTGAATTGAGATATTCTTCCTCATGCTGGTTCTAAGTCTCATAATGTGCTCAGCAAACTTCACATCATTCTATATTAAATACTGACCATATTTTGTTAAGCGTTTGTTTTAGAAAGTATCTGAACCAGAACGTAATGCATTATGATGTTACAAAATAGTTTTGCTATAAAGAAAATCATGACATTCAAAGGTTTGGAATGCAATTTTATGTTAAGATAATCACAACTGCTCTAAGGCGTTGAATACTAATTTTGATTGTATTCAGTTTTCAATAGATGCTTTAGAATTAGAAGTACAGTAAAAGCTATAGGTTGTTTTGTAAGACAGAATAGAAATTATTTTAGACACCATGTAAATGTAAATGTTTTGCTGATCTCTGTTGTTGCACATAAATAAACCATAATTCACTTACTCTGACCATAAAGCTGTGTTAATTTGAGTATCTGATGTGTTTGGCTTTTTGCAGCTTCTTCACGTCCAGCAACCAGCGACAGAAACATCTCCTATTTTGGCCGAGTTTATTAATTAATTGAAGTTTTTATTGATCTCAGCAGTGGCTGCCATCATTGGGCACCAGAGAGCAGTCAGGGTTAAGGGTCTTGCTCAGAGACCCAGAGTGGCAGTCTGTGGAAGAGGGTTTCAAACTCGCAACCTCAGGATTCCAAGCTCTATGCCCCAACCACAAGGCCAGCACTTCCCTCCAAGTTTTTCCATGTCAGCTGCAGCACTTTCTAGTTCTGCCAGTGTTCTTTGCTCGAGCCACTTCGGCTAGATGACCGTGATTCCTCCAGTCTCCGCCTCATTCGGTCTCGGCTGCACGGCTTCAGTTCAACAGGCTCACCTCGGCATTTAGTGATCAGCTGGTCACAAGTCTGGACGACTCTCATGCAGCTCCGAGCCCCCCTGGGCTCAGGGCACCGTATCCTAACCTTTCAGCCAAACTCATCTAACTCCTGTGTCTACATACCATTTTCATTACTCTGTAAAGTGCCTTGAGATGACATGTGTTGTGAATTTGGCGCTATATAAATAAACTGAATTGAATTGAATTCAATTCAAGACAAGCACAATACTGTTTTAGGTTTAATTAAATTCTCCATGTAAATATTCTGCCTTGTTAATTGTTTTATGAAAAAACAATTTATAAATCATAATTTTCCCATAGCAAAACCACTTTCCAGCTTTTGCTTCAAGGTGTTAAAAGGACTTCATTTTATTTATCTCTTACCCCTAATAATTGTTGAGTTGTATTTGTTCTGTTTCAAGTTTAATCAAAAGTTAATTACATTAAGAAATCATTAGCATAAATGCAACTTGCTCTTTTTTGAAAATTCACCTTTAAGTATTTTTAATGATTAGTGTTTCACTTATTCACACTGCTACCGTAAGACCAACTTAACTCAGAAGTGCTCTAATTCTGTCATCTATGTGCAAAGGAAGGATTTGTCTAATCATATGGGGTTTATCATAATCAAATATAAGCTTAAAAATCAGTCCCTTTACATGCCGTACACAATATCATTCTATTGTAACGATCTGTACATTGTTTTCAGTTAAAAAATGCTTCTAAACCCTTGGGCCCCAATTCTATTTTGATCGCCCCTGTGTGCACTCTGGAAACTGTGCTCCTTCTTCTGCCTCTCAGCGAAACAAGCAGCTGTGTGTGAGTCAGGAAATAATATCTGTGTGTAGAAAATGTGTGTGTATTGCGTTTCCCTTTGCCTCGGGACAGAATTCAGAACCATTTTTGGACCTTACTGTTGGGCGGGAGGTGGGAGGGGGGGGGTTTACAAAACTTTTAGTACAAATTGATTTTCTAACTTTAACATGTTAATTTCAAGACATAGTAAGATGTAAATATATTAATCAATATATTTCTTATAAAATCGACCATAGTTTTTCACTTTTTATAAACATTTGAAAAAGAGGTTCAACACTTTAAATCAATGATTTCAGCTCCTCTAAAGGTTCACCTCCAGAAATCACAGCAACATCGATAGCATTTGCAAAACAACATAAACAAAATATAACTAAAACCAAACACTTTATAATAGAAAATGTCTAGACCAGATCCTATTTCTTGTGCACATTATTTGTATTTTCTTTTTCGAAAGTTTTGTCATTGTTTGTCTTGTAGTATTTTCTGATGACTTTGGTCCCACTCATTACTGAATTACTCAAAACGCATCCAAATAGAACGTGCAGAAATTCGACTTTTTCAGCAACAGGTTTCCTGCATACCTTTCTTATCATATGTCCGGACGTGGATGCATAGAGAGAATCCAGTTCTTCATGGGATTTTATGTTTATTGCCATATTAATCTATGTTTTAACATAACTGTAATCTGATTATCTGCTGTTTAATTCTACTATTGATCTGTTTATACTGAAACATAATAGAACTAATATTTTATACCCCAGACAGACATGTTGACATTGAACAAACAACATAGAACAGACAGACAGACAGACAGACAAAGAACATAAAGACAGACAGACAGACAGACACATGCCGGCTTCTAACATAGTTTTGTTTATAGTAATATATAATCCTATTTAACAGATACAGAACGTCGTGGCGTTTTTAAGCTTCCAGCGTGTGTCTGTGTGTGTCAGCGCACACACAGACAGGCTCATAGGAGGAGAGAAGAAAAAGGGAGGGGGCTTTTACTAAGAAAAACTTGTTTTGAAACTTTTTAGATGTTGTCTTACAAATTTTGAAACTTCTCTTCTATCCACTGTTTACGTAACAAATTGTTCTGTAATAATTAACAACTTTTCGACCAAATATGTTTAAAGATTGGGCACAATTAAGCCTTTTCTGTTGGAACAAACAACTGGACTCCTATTTTTCATGCAGGTCAGCTATTAGAAAATGTGACGCAGTTACAATTGAAGTGAGAGCAGACGTCTTTTACAGATATAAAGTGATCACTTTCTTTCTTTTGTTTAGTCTTTTATGTTTTTAGACTTATTTATGCAATTATTTTCACTTTTTATGTTTTGATTCCCTTATTTAATGACTTTTATTTCCTCCTTTTATTTTGACCTCTTATGTCCTCTGGGACACTTAGGAGAGGTTATTAAACATCTCTACATTTTGTAGGGACTGGATCTTACTCTACACTGTTTTCAGTCTGATTAAATTACAGTGATTAAGCAGATCTGATTACAGATTCTGGAAGGAGGTTTGAATTTAAACAGATGTTTTTAGTGTACACTTAGATTTCAAACACACAAACAGAATCACACAGAGTCACACGTTAATACAGAATCACACGGAGCTCCTTAGACATTCATACCATTACATGCCATGGCAATTAATCGGTTGTGCACAGAATTCTTTAACTTCATAGACCCAAGCAGCCAATTTAAACTAATTTGCATGCACTTTCCAACTCTTTTATCAACTTTTGGTCTAACATCATCAACACAGAGCCACACTGCTCTCTGTTGCTTCTTTCTCCGGAGATAAACAACTTCAACAACTGAGATCTCGATATAGTCCCTCTGGACTTCAGGCCTATTTCTCAACAACAACAGCCTTTCAGGCTCAGTCGAACTGCGACTCGGCGACATATTAAACTAGGAAATTTATTTTCCTCACTAGAATGAGATATACATATTAGTTGCATCATTCATAATGATACATCACTTATAATCCGTGACCGCCAGTTTCCACCAATTTCTATAAAGTTATGGTGCAATCTCGCTTCAGCAGATTACTATTAATCATCCAAAACAAAAATCCGAGCCAGTTCTCGACAGCTACTATTTATCTCAAGATGCCAATTTATGCTGCAGCAAACATCCAGTGGCAAACAGATAATCGTCTGATACAGTTTAAATGTGTGTCCAGCTTCCAAGCAGCTTAAGTGATCTGCTTTATATCAGTCATTAAAATAGGATCAAGGGATTTGACCTACCTTCTCCTGATTCTAAAGTTGTTCCCGGGTTCTTTTCTCAGCTCGGCCAATGCATCAAATGTGGTGGTTTTCAATGGTCAAAAAATCAGGACACCTTCAGTCGATCATCTGATTGCCCACAGGACGGGAGAAGAAGCGTTTATTTTATAGATCAAATTCACATGCTGTCCTCAGTACACGTAACACAGCGCTTCACATTTCAACAGAACACATCTAGCTTTTCTCAACTCCTCATTCAAATCTGGGCGTTTATATAGTTTCAACATTGCACTGTGTGGATGTATGTGCACGACTGGACGCTCTGATAACATTTCCTGGAAGTTCTTGGCTAGTGACCGGATTGCGTGCGAGTGGGCCTAATGATTTTGTTTTTCCAGACTTATCCTGGCAGTCAAGCCAAGATGAGTACGTGGCCTCCAGACTGCTTGCTCTGTGTTATCAATCATTGTGAGCTTAAGGTCACGATGACCTGAGGCAACACAATTCGCTTCTACACAAGAGAGATAACCGCACCCTGGAGAGGATTGTGAAACAAAACCCATTCAAAAATGTGGGGGAGATTCACAAAGAGTGGACTGCAGCTGGAGTGAGTGCTTCAAGAACCACCACACACAGACGTATGAAAGACATGGGTTTCTGCTGTCGCATTCCTTGTGTCAAGCCACTCTTGAACCACAGACAGCGTCAGAAGCATCTTGCCTGGGCTAAAGAGAAACAGGACTGGACTGCTGGTGAGTGGTCCAAAGTCATGTTCTCTGATGAAAGTAAATTTTGCATTTCCTTTGGAAATCAAGGTCCCAGAGTCTGGAGGAAAAGAAGAGAGGCACTTCATCCACGTTGCTTGAAGTCCAGTGTAAAGTTTCCACAGTCAGTGATGGTTTGGGGTGCCATGTCATCTGCTGGTGTTGGTCCATTGTGTTTTCTGAGGTCCAGGGTCAACGCAGCCACATACCAGGAAGTTTTAGAGCACTTCATGCTTCCTGCAGCTGACCAACTTTTTGGAGATGCAGATTTCATTTTCCAACAGGACTTGGCACCTGCACACAGTGCCAAAGCTACCAGTACCTGGTTGAAGGACCATGGTATCCCTGTTCTTAATTGGCCAGCAAACTCTCCTGACCTTAACCCCATAGAAAATCTATGGGGTATTGTGAAGAAGAAGATGCAATACACCAGACCCAACAATTCAGAAGAGCTAAAAGCCACTATTAGAGCAACCTGGGCTATCATAACACCTGAGCAGTGCCACAGACTGATCGACTCCATGCCACGCCGCATTGCTGCAGTAATACAGGCCAAAGGAGGCCCAACAAAATACTGAGTGCTGTACATGCTCATACTTTTCATGTTCATACTTTTCAGTTGGCCAACATTTCTATAAATCCTTTGTTTTTATTGGTCTTCAGTAATATTCTAATTTTCTGATATGATGAATTTGAGAATTTCATTTGTTGTCATTTGTAATCATCAAAATTAAACAAAATAAACATCTGAAATATATGAGTTTGTATGTAATGTATGAATATAATATACAAGTTTCACTTTTTAAATGGAATTACTGAAATCAATCTACTTTTTCATGATATTCTAATTTTATGACCAGCACCTGTAAAAGCTTGGCTTAAGATTTCCATTCCTGCATGAGATTAAACAGGATTAGGCAATATTTAATGGAAGAAAGCATCTCAGTTTTATTCTCATGTAGCTGGACAACAATTTTAAATATCCAGCTTTTAATTGAAAGTTGAGAGTTTGGACATCGTTAGCATAACAATGATATACACTACAAGCAATAAAAATGATCTGACCACCGAAGAAACACATATTAATTAAATGTGTGTGCGTTTAGGTAGTCTTGGTAGGATTTACAACCAAAACCTCCCTTCAGGTTTTTTTGCGTCACCATAGGAGAAGCTATGAGTGCTGATCTGGACCGAACCGAGAGAGAAAAGCAACAGAAGCTCCTCCGGGCAGCAGATTCCCACTCAGTGGGTTTGAATCATGCAGTTTTATTAGAATCAGTTTCTGAACTGTCAGCTTGGATATTTAATATGTAAGAACATTCAGTAAAGATCCAATTCTTCCCACCTCTGACTTTAACCATCTGTGACAGAATCAGACGCACTCGGCCAACAAAAGTCAGACTTTAAAGACAGTTGGTCTCATTAAAGTGGCTGAACGGAGAGCTCACAGATGGAGTCCTTCATCTCCATGAAAACCTGGATGTAGAGATTAAAGAAGTTA